GTCCCATTCATGGACCTTGCTCGTCAGATCACCACCTATGATCCCTTCCTTCATCATGGTGTAAAAATGGCGCCATCCGCCACGATTCACCCTTCCTCTCTTCAGGATGGACACCCTCTCAAAAATGTCCCAGTTGAAAGGAACCATAGTTGCACGAGCCACCACCACCAAACTATTGAAGTGACGGATTACGGCATGAGTAATCTGCGCCACCGGCATCTTCCTCCATTCGCAATAACGGAGAAGCAACGAGATCGGGAACTGAAGGCCGAACTCTGTGAAATGACACTCGTATAAGCAGAAATAGCCCTCTGGGGGGTGTGGTCACTCTCTCGTAAACTTGAGGAAGCAGCAGTTCGACCTCGTCGGGAAAACCGCACTTCAAACGAAGCTCCTCGAGCCTTTTCCGCGGTCATCCAAGTCCTCCCGTCTTTAACGCCGGTCCTGTGCGGCGACATTGCAATCTTCTTAGGGAGACCCTCGACCCTGATATCTGATTCAAAACTCGATGGCCCAGGATGATCCAAATCCACTTCGGAGTCCGCATCGGGATGATCCGACGGAATCTCATCCCGATAGTCTGAAGAGCCCCCCAGAAATAGAAGAAGTAGAAGCGACTGGACTTATCCAGGCTTGCTTGGTGTGGTCGGCGAGACAAATCTCGTCGTCATCAAAAGAAGAATGCGAGGAAGCAGCAGACATCTTTGAAGTTTTTGAATGAAATAAAAGGGCAAAGGAAAAATAGGTGAATCGCTATAGAAGATTGCTGCAGAAATCGGCAAATGATACGAAGATTTTCTAAAAAGCAAGAAGATGAAGAGGTAAAAAGTAAAGTAAATAAAATCGGAAAGAAATATCAACAGTTTCCTAAGAAGACGCGTGTCAAGATTTTTACAATCTCGCCGTCTGGCGAACCCTTCGTATTTCCCGCTGAAAAGCAGAAACCCTAATGGGTCAGAGTATTTAATAAATAAAAAGCACCGCGTGACTAATCTGCTAAAAATCGAGCCGAACTGGCAATCGCAAAAGCAACGCTCTTGACGAACTGACAATTATTGCGAGGTCAAACCCATCTATAACTTCATGAAGTCCGCCGACCTGATTTACAGTCAGTCTCGCCGAACTGGGGGGGGGGGGGGGGGGGGGGGGGGGGGGGTGGGAGGGGACTTACTGTTAGAGGGGAAATAAGCACATTTCCTAAAAATCCTTCCCCGCAATAACCTAAGCCCATCACGACCAGCAAGACCGCGCCGACCTAGTTCGGGTTAAAGGAAAACTCTTAAAAGATAATTATGAAAGACCGGAAACATCGGATTAACCCTAAGGATAATGGAGAATTTCCATATACTTTGGAGAATAAGGGATATTTCCATATCTGTGATATAGAAACATACACAAAGGCAAAAAGGAAAAGGAGTTCGGAGCAACCGACCTCCCATTCCTATAAATACAAAGATCCCGAAGCCAGAAAGAACAACTCATACAATCTAGAGAGCAGCAAAGCAAAAACCCAAGACTTCAACGCTTTCTAGTTTACTTCGCAAACCTTCTTTTCACTTCGGTATAACCTCTCGGTTATACCATTCTTTGTAATTGCTAACGCTTTCTTGCTATTAATAAAGATCGTATTCTCCAAAATCCACAACTGTTAATCAAACCCTAATGATGATTTTCTAGTTCAACATGACATTTATTCAGTTTGTTATTATAGATAGATTAATGACATGGCATCTCATTTTCCTTATGTTGCATTTTTATGTTTTCAGACAAATAAATTTGCTACTATTACTTATAAAATTATTAACTAAAAAGCTAAAAACTTTTAGAATTACTAAGGTCCGAAGCAAGTCAAGGTCTTTTTTTTATATAAAATGTTTTAAGATGTAAACTGTGAAAATATTGATTCAAAAGTTTAACCAAATAACAGTACTAAACAAATTCATACTAGATTTAATTAACTTCGTTTTGATTATTTACAACTAGTGTGACACTCATAGTTTTTCGAATCAGAACCAAACTTAAAGTAGTGTTAATATTTCAATTTTTTTTTTCCTTTACACACATCTAACTCGAATAGTGGGAAAAAATTACAAAGTTTATACTACAACTCAATTTATGTTAAGTGTATTTTAGTATTCTGTTAGATATTTATCCATGCTATATTCATGTCTTGTTTCATGATTTTTTTTTGTATATGTGATGTAATTGTAAGAATATTGTCAAATGAATGATTCGTTAACAAATAAGTGATATTGTCTACAAAAGGCTTAGACAAATACTCTATATTATGCTTGGTATAGAATATATAGTTGAAATGGTTGATTTTTTTTTTCTTTTTTGGTAAAAGAAATGGTCAATTGCCATAGCTTGAGAGACCATCATTCCATTTAAAGAAAAATTGAGATTATAATATACTCGGATATGACAATGTCTGATCAGATGAACAAGCTACAACCCCTTGGATTTGGCAAAAACCAGGAGAATGAAAATCAAATGAACAAGCTACCACCCCTTTGTATTTCCGCTGAGAATATTTAAAGATTTGTGGAGTCATGCATGCTCATTGACCAGAGATCCAAAATTACAAAAGACTTCAGGCTTCAGCTAATATGATTTAAAAAAAAAAAGAGCAAAATAAGAAAACGAATATAGTTGTCACTTGCTACCAGGATGTTGGATATATAAGTCTCAAACATGCTTTCAAATTAAAGGCTCATATGCAAGTATTTCAATCATAAATAACCTACAACTACAATGCTACAATTGTGTAATACAGTGTTAAAAAAGTATTGTTTTTAGGGTATTTATAACCACAAATATTAATTATTAGTTGTCCGACTGGTGTAACAGGCCTAGCGATAACAAATGGCTAGCTGTATACAATACAACTCCTGGAATATTGAAAATAAATAATATTTAGACGATGAAGATATTTACGAAAGAGCCGTTGTATGATGAGTATAATTAATCTTGGCCATTTATGTTTGTGAGTATGTAAACTGCGTACACTTTAGTCTCTTCGTAGTTCGTACTATAAAACCTCTTATACGTATATATTAACTAATACGAGTGAATCGTAAACATGTTTTTTTTTGTGGCTAATTTAAGTAGGGTATGTTGCTGAGCATAGAATGAGATTCGATTTAAATTGGATAATTGGAAGAAGCATCATTCTAAAAAGACATATTAAGATTTCAATCAAAAACAATCTAAGTAAAGTTCTATGAAAAATATAACCATTTCATTCATCGTCAATTTACTTTAAATTGAAAATCCATAATACTATACACATACAATTGTCTATTTATCGCTATGCCAAATGGTTGTAGAGGAAGTAGTGCCCGTTACGTGCCGACACGTTGGACGGTTGGAGTATGACAATAAGCAACTAAAACCTGATATTCTGGTGGGAATAATAAGATCGAAAATAGAGAAGAAGAAACACACTTAAGAACCTAGCTAAGGTTTCAATTTTTATAAAGGATTCTTTTCTGTGTGTTTAGATGAGATTAAACGATTATATCTAATCTAATACCAATCAAACGTAAAGGCTCAACTGAATCTAATCAATATTATCTTCAATTAATGTGAAATTTGACAACCTTTCCTTCCATTCATTATCTATAATTTGTGGTTTGAGAAATACAACTATTAGAGTCCACAGTTCATATAAAAGTATTCTCCGCTGATTTGGTTATATTCAAAGACACCGATCATATAATATATTCCTGTAAATTTGGTAGATAAGATTTGTAAGATCAATAAATTGCGACCTTTTCAATAATAATTTTATTTACGTAATTTTCTTACAACAATATTATGGAATGAACAAGATACTAATTATATGGTTCTCCTTCTAAACTGCGACAAAATATATATATATATATAAATTAATTTTAAGTTATTTTAAAAATAATATTATGGAAACAGCGATATACTTAATTTACAAAAACAAAAAAAAAAAAAACAACGACGTACTTTTCTTTCTCGAACAATTGTTGTTTGGATGTTACGATAATGGATGTTACGATAACGACATATTTATTACATATGGTTCTCCTTGTCCCGCTACTCCTTCTCCTCCTCTTGATGTCATCGTTTTACGTCATTTTTTACGTCATGTTTAAAAATAGTATTATGATACATTTACTTTGATAATATCACAATCTTTGAAATTTCGAAGAAATAATATACTTTAGTTTCAAAGTAGAAAGCAAGTGACTAAGGTTCGTAGGTTAGTGGTTGTATCAGTGCAGCTGATGTAGTATTATTCGGATGCAACTCCGCCTGATACATGTTATTCAAAAAGCGAATAAAACATGAAACACATAGGACGACTCATGATTTAATGAAAGTATTGGCTCGTTTTTCTAATACCGGGCCCACTAATCTTCATTAGCTATAAAAAAAAAATGATTAAATTTGTACTAGAGATGAGCTTCTACAAGATTTATCCTCTATAGCAACAATGATCTCAAGAATAAGGAATAACGATCTGATTGAGGAGTAAGCAAATATTATACATAATAATCTGCTTTAGTCAGGTTCAGTTTCTCTTGACAAAGTTTTCGTTCCGTGATCTTCAAACCAAAAATGATACCTTCTTCGAGCAATCACACAAACAGTTTCAAACAATCTTAGATGTCTTACAATTATAGTTTTCTAAAGTTATGTATAATTTGTAAAAAGCACAAACCACATCATCATTATAATTGATGAATAAAAGTGTTGTAAAATCGTAATACGTATTCGTTATAGGTCATCTCGCCCCAATAATCGCTCCAATTATACGTTATCATAAGATTCCATATATTAAGAAAAAAGGTTTTATGTAATTTGTCTGGCCGTTTACTTGACTTCTTAGCGTGTCGAAACTGGCAACGATTGCTATCCAAACCTCGTTAGAATATTCAAAAAAAAAAAAAAAAATGCATGTGACCATACACTTCGCAATTCTCTATATAACACCACCTTCTCATACTCGTTTCTTGGCAACCAAGACACATAAACCAAAGCATTTACATCAAAAACATTTCATACTGTTCTCTCTCTCTCTCTCAAAGAATGGCTTCGATCGTTTTCTTGATTCTAGCCATTGTGTTGTGGTCCAGAACTTCAGAAGCCACATCTCGTGGGGGACTCTTTGAGGCTTCTGCTATAGACAAACATGAGCAATGGATGGCTCGGTTCCATCGCGTTTACTCCGACGATTCTGAGAAAACGCGTAGGTTCGAGATCTTTAAGAAGAACTTGGAGTTTGTCGAGAGCTTCAACATGAAACCGAACATAACGTACAAGTTGGGTGTCAACGAGTTCTCTGATCTCACCGACGAGGAATTTCGGACGAGGTACATGGGGCTAGTGGCTCCCGAGGACTTGACCGGAATCTCAACGTCGGCGTCGTTTAGATATGAGAGTGTCAGCGAAACCGGTGAGAGCATGGATTGGAGACAGGAGGGTGCCGTTACATCCGTAAAGAACCAAGGCCGATGTGGTAATTTAGTTATCATAATTGATTTAATCACTGTCACATTTTTTTTGTCATTCTACTGGGTTGAAACTAATACAAACCATTATGAAATATAATCCGATCTATATTATACTTTTTTTCTGAATTATGTTAAACTTATTCAAATCCTAAAAATAGTAAATAGACACCGAGTTTAGCTATGTTTCACCTCCCTAGTGACATAGGGACGACGCTATATTTACAAGCCATTATAGTATATAATTCGGTCCACATATATCACATTTTTTAAAAAAGTATATGTTAATGTGTAATTCATGAAAATGGAACAGGGTGTTGCTGGGCTTTCGCGACGGTGGCAGCCGTGGAAGGCATAACAAAGATTGCGAAAGGAGAGCTTGTATCGCTCTCGGAGCAGCAGCTCTTGGATTGCAGCATAGGAAACAACGGATGTGGCGGAGGGTTTAGGTCGAAAGCTTTCGAGTACATAATCAATAACCAAGGAATCACAACAGAGGATAACTATCCGTACCAGGAAGCACAACAAACCTGCCCTTCGACCAACCAATTAACCACTGCTGCTACCATCAGCGGTTACGAGAGAGTCCCTCAAAACGACGAGGAAGCATTGCTAAAAGCAGCGTCTCAACAGCCTATTTCCGTGGCGATAGATGGCTCAGGGCTTGCGTTTATGCACTACAAGGGCGGGATATTTGGCGGAGAGAACTGTTCAACGAAACAGAATCATGCGGTTACCATTGTTGGCTACGGGACGAGCGAAGAAGGAGTTAAGTATTGGTTGTTGAAGAACTCATGGGGGGAATCTTGGGGAGAAAATGGTTTCATGAGAATCATGAGAGACGTGGAGGCACCCGAAGGAATGTGTGGTTTGGCCCAAGTTGCTTTCTATCCACTTGCTTGAATCCTCTATTATGTTATTCGAATATGTGTAAATGGGTTTGTTCAGAGTATTTGACAACACCCTTATCAATAAGCTTATGCAACTATGGTCCAACGTTTTGGATTTCCGAGTGTACCTTGTGTAAGCATGTATTATATTTTTGGTTTTCTTCTTCTTTTAAGCGTGTATTGTGTTGGTGTTATAATATATAAAGCTCTTGTGGTAATTTGATCTTAGCCAGACAGATACAGAGGAAAAACGTTATAGTGGACGAAATGAAACTATTAACAACAGTATAGACAAGCATGTCAACACACTTCTCTGCTTGTAACATCTAATACATTTTTCATTGTCTAACTATTTAAGTCAGCAACCTCTTACCACATTTTAATCACCACATCTAATTCCACTCGTGTTGTCAAGCAGGGAATTGGGACTACGAAGTCAAGGAACTGAAGCAGCAGACTGATTGGATATCAAACGGTACAATCAATCAGAGGCAAGAATTTTAATATCTCTAGCTTCTTCGTACTGAAATTATATAGTCAAGTCACTCAACGGAAATCGAAAGCATGAAATTGTTTCCCTGACTTTGGTTGATGGCGTGTTGTAAATTACACTATACGCTAGCCTGGCAGCCAGCTACCGTATAACATATACGATATACTTTTATGCGGGATATAAAAAACATTGAAAAGTATAATAAATATATAACATTACTTTTATATATAACTCAATGCTAATTAATTAAATTAAATTTATATTTATAATTAGTTAAATTGAGGATTTTATAAATTAGAATTATAAAAAATATTAAAATGAGCCGTATCAATCGTATTTATAACTGTATAAACCGCATATACGAATGTATAACCTGCATATACGAACAAATATGTTGTAAAATTGGCTATATAAATTAAAATGTATTTTTTACTGTATAATAAAAAGAAATAATTACATCCATAGGTACTTATTTGGAGTTTGTTTTCATATTGGCATATTTTGGGCTTTTGACACACTTTCGGATTATATTAGGACTAAAATACTTTCATCTTCATATTATAGCTTTTCGGTAATTAAACCATATTTTTGTGCGTCTGTTAAAAAAACATCTCATCTTACCTTTCTCCTATTAAAAAAAACCTAGTTCACTCGCTCTCAGTTAGTCGGAAAACTTCTTCGACGGGCACTACTTGTTCAACTTGTTCAGTTACTGATAAAAAATTCATCACATCTTACTTTTCTTTCAGCAACGAAATACCTAGTTTACCAGAAATACCTTGCCTCTCTGTATTGCCGCCTCTCAGTTCGCCGGAAACCTACTTGCTGACTCTCGTATCATCTTTGTTCAGTTAATGATATCAACCGACATGGAAGGTACTTTCATCAATTTCACTTTTCATCTACTTCTTATTTCTTTGTCCACATCCATAATTGTTTGCCTATACCCAATTTCATCTTCGCAAATCTAGCCTAGATCCACAGTTTTTCCCCACTCGCTTTTACTTAATGCTATTACAGCAGATTATAAGTTTTACACCAAATAACGACCATCCATATCTCACTTTTCAGTTTCACTTTTCGTTTTTTCTCATCCATTTTACATAGATTTGTCCTGTTATCCACTATCTTCCAAATATTGGCTTCATATTTTCATATCCATCAATCCATATCCATAGCTGTCTGTACATATCATCTCGACTATTTGAAACACTATTGACTCATCTATTATGTACATGTGGATAGAAGGTTGTGGATTGTTGATTTGTAGTATAAGTTATACATATATCATAAAAGAACTTTTCAACATAAGTAAACTGAATGTCGTCGATTATTTTTTTATAGATGTTATTAATCTCGGTAAATTGTGTTATGCCGCAATTCAAATCTATAAAACTCTAAAAAAGTAAAGGAACATGTATTATATCCATATGGACATGATCATGTGGATGAATAGAAAACAATAGTTAGGATACATGGCTGTTGTTTAATGATCATTTTGTACATGAACCTGAATTTATGCGTCATGGACACAAACTAATGTATACGTTCATTAGAAACAAAAAACACATGGACACATAACATATGGACGGTGAAGTGATGGACATAACGAATGGATATTGAAGACTAAAATAGTTGTCAATCAATGGGTTATATATGATACATATATTCAATATTCATGAGAAGTTGTCCACGCTGCAGTGCCCATGAGAAGCTGTCCACAATGCAATGTCCATGGTAGTTTATGGGTTGTATGGTAGTACAATAATCAATTTGACATGCTGTGGTTGTCCATCAAGGATAATGATTAGTTTATAGTATTTATGTCCTGCAGGCTGTGGCCATGATTTTTTTTGTTTAATATATACAGGTGCTCATTATGGATTGGTAATTGTATTTATGTCCATTATTAATAATCTATTGGGCTTACAGCATTACATGTATCAAATGAAACATTTGATGTTGTGCGTAGCTTAAACGAATGTAGGTGAATGAAAAATTGAGGATAATAAACTTTAGGTCAATTGGGATTTATCTATAAAATTTTGTCCATATAGCTCTGGCCACGTGTTGGCTTGGTTGTCCGTCTAAATCTGAAGAGGCGGTGCTACAATGTGCATGCCGCTTCATCCACGCTGCTGCATCTGTCTCGTAACATCCATGCTGCTACATCCATGACTATACATCCATGCTGTTATATCCATGACTCTGCAACCATGCCATTATATTATAGACAAAGTATCATGAACAAAGATTTTATATCTTCTTGATTAAAATATGAAAGCTTACTTGTAAGTATCATGACAAAGTATCGTGAGCAAAGCTTTGCAAAAATAAGAAGTAAACAGGATCCATTATGCATAGAGAGTCATGGATATGCTGGACTTAACACTATCCCCCTACACCCTTGGTATTAATTAGTGCATGTACCCGCTTATCCACAGCTTATATGGCCAACGCATGCGCAAAATGTACAGCGCCCATGGACACGCGCTGATGTACAATTTCTACACCCTCCCAAAATCAATATACCAGATCTTTCGATGGACGCTTCTTGCTAACAGCTTTACGGGTGGACAAACAATGTATGTGGACACGAGCTGATGTACATTTCCTACAGTCTCCCAATGGATGATTCTTGCTCATAGTTTCCCAGGTGGACAAACATTCGTACGTTGCCACGAAATGACATACATTTTTTATAACCTGCAAATATCAATATTACTGTTCTTCCGATGTACGGTCCTCCCAAAAACGAAGAATCGAATAAAATCGTTTCTTCTCGGTAGCAGCAACCGACCACTACCGCCGTTAAAAGTTCCACATACGGTAGGATTAAAGAATTAAATCAACAAAGTCCCGCCTTATTGATTTTAACTCAAACACTGCTCTCCGACAACTGTGAAACATGTAGACTTCTAAAAATTTGCTCTGACTTACTTCTGAGCAAAAGAGTAACCGCTAACAGCAGCAGTAAAAAACAAATTTTTTTATTTTCTCATTAAGGGTAAAATGGACACAGAAGTGTACAAAAATTATTGGAAAGTGCCTCAAAAGCAAAATGTGTGTAAAATGAAATAAAACACCCAAATGTGCCGCAGAGTAAACGACTCTAATAAAAATGGTATAGTTGTCCATCGTATAGCGTATATGCGCCGTATATCATAGAGAGAAGATGAGAAAAAAGTATGGAGAGATGATATGCCGTGTTCAGTTTTTATGCTGCGTTTAAGTACTATTCGAGCGGGGTATGCGACGGGAAATGCGGGACGGAAATGAGTCAAAAGACTTCAGCTAATACGATTGAGAAAATAAAGAGGACAATGAAAGAAAAAAACGAATATATTCAATTAGTTGCCACTTGCCACTTGCTATCGGAGTATCAGATGTTGGATATGTAAGTCTAAAAATGGTTTCAATGGGTCATATATGCAAGGACTTCAATCAAAAACAACATAGAATTATAATTTTACAATTACTTAATATATTGTTATAAAGTAAAGACGTAAGATACTGTTTATAGGCTATTTATAACAATAAAATATTATTTATTATTTGTGAACTACGTCTAGATTTATTAAAAGATTATGTATCATATAAAAACTAATCCAATTTATTCAGGAGGGATTCCATTTCACATATATAGCCATGCATAGAGAGACACGCTCGCCTCGTCCATTGATTATATGTTTCTTGCGATTCAAGTTACAGAATCATATATTGTTTTATCATTTATGCATGCTCAGTAACGTAAACATTATATGTGATTTCATTGAAAATTATTATAAATATATAACATTAATTTTATATATAACTCAATACTAATTAATTAAATAAAACTTATATTAATAATTAGTAAAATTTAGGATTTAAAATTCTGAAAATATTAAAAATGAGCCGTATCAATGGTATATACAGTCGTATAAGCCGCATACGAACGTATAATCCACATATACGAGCATATATATATGTTGTATAATTAGCTGTATAAATTAAAACGTATTTTTCTACTGTATAATAGAAAACGGTATAGTCTTCTATCGTATAGCGTATATGTGCCGTATATCATAGAGAGAAGATGAGAAAAAGTCCCATCAGCTTCTAGAGATATCGTTATTTTCACAAGGAAATTAAATAATTGGAACAGATGATATGCCGTGTTCAGTATTCATGCTGCGTTTAATTTCCATTGTATGCGACGGGGAATAAGTCAAAAGACTTGAAAGTCCTGTCACAGTGGCAGCGTTCAGCGTCTAAAAATATAAAGGAGAAAACGTGTTGAGTTTGTCAAACCCATGTCTAAAAATATGGATTTATTTAAATAAAAATTAACTAATAAGAGAAAAATCGATCCTTAATTAAGAGTTTTAAAAATCGTTTTTTTTTAACTAGTACGTGTCAATGTTTTATTCGATCGAGTTTGAGAACACAAAAAGATTTTTTTTTCCTACGGATTCGATCTTCTCTCTAGCTTCTCCTCTCTCATGCGATTCGATCTCTTTCCTTTCTGCTTTGAATCGATGTTGGAAATCGCCAGACGACATCACTAATCAGATGAATGGATCTAGAATTTCTGCTTCCTCGTCCACTCTGGTAAGTTAATTTGGATTTTCTCTTCTTCTTCTGCTCTTCCTTTTTTAATTCTGGTGTTTGTTCGATGAGAAAATCAATTTTATCCTGTAATCGCACTCTATTAATCCTGTAAATGGTTCATCTATGAAGGTGCATTGCTTAAATAACAGATTTTACATCTTGAAGGTGTTGATTTTATCCTGTATAGCGGATTTTGCTCAATGATTTTTCTTCTGCTTACCTCATTTGGTTTCTCTGTTTCGCAAAAAGGAGGGAAGGAAGATTGGTGTAGCGGATAAGCGAGCCAAGAGGCTACCTTCAATGAACTTCAGAGTTTCAGCCAAAAGCTCCATTAATTCTGAAAAAGATATTAGGATTGGTCTTCTTGGTGCAAGTGGCTACACTGGTGCAGAGGTTTGTCCAATGTTGAAATGATCTGTTTCAAATTTAATCTCATTTGAGAATTTGCTAGTTTTAGTGATCTTTTTGATTCTTAAAACTAATTATAGCTTAAGTAGTATCCATCTTGTTGCAAGTCTGTGGCTTTATGGCCTCCTTCTTTAGCCTAAGCAGTGTACATATGCAAAGTTTTGACTTTAGCTTCTTTATAGTCATATACAAACCTGCAAAAGAAGAAGAATAGTAATCGGTTTTAAGGTTCTAGATCCGAAATTTTCATGTGTGAGGAATCTAACTTTCGATTTAAATGCATATGAGTAAGCAACTTTTGATTTTAGCAAATGGTTTTTGGAATCTCTTGTGTGGCAGATCATCAGGCTTGTTGCAAATCATCCACATTTCGGTGTCACGCTGATGACTGCAGATAGAAAAGCTAAACAGTCAATGAAAAGCATTTTCCCGCACCTCATAGCTTAAGTATAATCAATTTCCATCTGTTAATACTTTGGTGATGGGATGTATAGTGTGATCAACGGAAATGCGTCTGTGGTTTTCACAGGAAATCATCAAGGGACTGCCCACAACTTCAGCGGTAATGCTCTGAAGAAAATGGTTTTTTATCTCTTTTGTTCATAATGCTTACACTTACTGAGTGTCTTTTGCTTGGTTCAGAAAGAAGTTGTGTATGGCCAAACAGCGTTATTGAGGGAGGACATTAAAAAGGTGAGACTTGTGGCTAATCCAGGCTGTTACCCAACTTTGGTCCAGCTTCCTCTTATTCTTCTAATAAAGGTTTATCTCATTTCTTTTTCGGAATTCTAGTTTTATCAGATTCTCTTGTCTTTGATTCAACTTTACATGTCGTAGAAGTGCAGCACTGCCTTGTTTTTCTTGACTTTGAGCATTTTTTAAAAACTCCTAAAAGGATTCTACCATTGGAGCAAAAACAACAAAAATATCTTAACAAGGATTCTTAACATATATTTTATAATTAAATATTAACTAAGAATCTCATTAGAGTTTCTTGCATTGCACATGCTAACTTTCTTATTAGTATGAAATTTATTCACTTTGGGTCTAAGTGGCAAAGCCCGCACTAATTTGTCTTTGGACTCTTCTCAAAAGACCTCATAATAATCAGAGTTAGACATTACTTATATATCAGACCATTACTATCTAATCTTTTGATATGGAACTTGGATTAATATCCCAATAACCCCTCCCTCAAACCAAGGACCATACAAGCCATTTGCTTCCAACCTTCCGCGAAACTTGCCACCCATCTTGTACCATCTTGTATCGATGTACACACCCTTAATCGCAAAGTTAGTTTGAGGACTCTCCCACAACAAAAAGTAGACCCAACTCACTTTCCAAGGTCCACTTTCTGAATCTTGGTGCTGCTATCAATTGTTAGACTTTTCAAACCCATGTCCAACTTTCTTATTAGTATGATATTGTCTGCTTTAGGCTCTAAGTGGCAAAGCCCGCACGGATTTGTCTTTAGGCTCCTCCCAAAAAGCCTCATACTAATATTAGACTATTACTATCTAATTTTCCTATGTGGGACTTGGATTGATATCCCAATAAAACGATAATTGACGGCACCAATCATTGAGTTTCTGTCGCTAGTTCTTTAAAAGAGACTACTGTCCTCCGACTTTTTGATCGCTGGTTTTTAATAGCATCACCAATGATTTAACTTTTCTGACGCTGTGCTTCCAGAGTCTAATTCTAGCAACAGTGAGAAAAAAGATTCAGTTATCATCAAGTGTATTTGTCAGCCGCTGAATGCTGACGCTGCGATAATTAAACAAACAAGGCTGAAGGGCTGAAGCTAATACTATTGCGAAAGTGGAGAGGAAAATGAAAGAAAAAACGAATATATTCGATTAGTTGCCACTTGCCACTTGCTATCGGAATATCGAATGTTGGAAACAAAGGTGTTGAAAATGTGTTTTTGCAGGCGTCGCTGGAATAGTATACCAGAGTAAAGACTATATATATCCAGATAAAGAAATATGATTCTAGAAAAGAGACATGTACTGAGTTGACTGTAATAAATTGAGTGTGGTTTTTATTATTACTAGGAATACGACCCCGCTTCACAAGGTTAATTTTCCATGTACTGAAAATTAAACAAAAATTTATTTAAAATAATTATAAGTAAAATGATAAAATAAAAATCATATGTAAATATGTAAATATCTTGAATAAGCTTCGAATGAAGAAAAAACTTATTTATATGATCAATGAACTCAAACATGCTTTCAAATTAAAGGCTCATATGCAAGTATTTCAATCATAAATAACCTACAACTACAATGCTACAATTGTGTAATACATTGTTAAAAAAGTATTGTTTTTAGGGTATTTATAACCACAAATATAAATTATTAGTTGTCTGACTGGTGTAACAGGCCTAGCGATTAAAAAAATGGCTAGTTGTATACAATACAACTCCTGGAATATTGAAAATAAATAATATTTAGACGATGAAGATATTTACGAAAGAGCCGTTGTATGATGAGTATAATTAATCTTGGCCATTTATGTTTGTGAGTATGTAAACTGCGTACACTTTAGTCTCTTCGTAGTTCGTACTATAAAACCTCTTATACGTATATATTAACTAATACGAGTGAATTGTAAAAAATGTTTTTTTTTATAGAATGGTCTAAGTAGGGTATGCTTTTTTTTTTGCTAACTGATTTAAGTAGGGTATGTTGCTGAGCATAGAATGAGATTCGATTTAAATTGGATAACTGACCATCATTCTAAAAAGACATATTAAGATTTCAATCAAAAACAATCTAAGTAAAGTTGTATGAAAAATATAACCATTTCATTCATCGTCAATTTACTTTAAATTGAAAATCCATAATACTATACACATACAATTGTCTATTTATCGCTATGCCAAATGGTTGTAGAGGAAGTAGTGCCATTACGTGCCGACACGTTGGAGTATGACAATAAGCAACTAAAACCTGATATTCTGGTGGGAATAATAAGATCGAAAATAGAGAAGAAGAAACACACTTAAGAACCTAGCTAAGGTTTCAATTTTTATAAAGGATTATTTTCTGTGTGTTTAGATGAGATTATAAACGATTATATCTAATACCAATCAAACGTAAAGCCTCAACTGAACCTAAACAATATTATCTTCAATTAATGTGAAATTTGATCAAATGTCATGACAACCTTTCTTCCATTCATTATCTATAATTTGTGGTTTGCGAAATACAACTATTAGAGTCCACAGTTCATATAAAAGTATTCTCCGCTGATTTGGTGAAAGACAACGATCATATTCCTGTAAATTTGGTAGATAAGATTTGTAAGATCAATAAATTGCGACTTTTTCAATAATAATTTTATTTACGTAATGTTGAACCAGAAAATCACCATTAGGGTTTGATTAACAGTTGTGGGTTTCAGAGAATAAAATCTTTTTATTGATAGCAAGAAAGCGTAGCAATTACAAAGAAATGTATAACCGAGAGGTTATGCCGAAGTGAAAAGAAAGTTTGCGAAGTAAACTAGAAAGCGTTGGAGTCTCTGACTTTAGCTCTGCTGCTCTCTAGATTGTATGAGTTGTTCTTCTTGGCTTCCATGTCCTTTTTATTTATAGGGATGGGAGGTCGGTTGTTCCGAACTCCTTTTCTTTTTTGCCTTTGTGTATATTTCCATATCACAGATACGAAAATATCATTTATTCTCCGAGAAATAAGGAAATTCTCATTTATCCCTTGGATTAATCCGATGTTTCTGGTCTTCCGTAAATCCGAGTTAGATCGGCACGATCTTTCTGGTTGTGATAGGCTTAGGTTATTGCGAGGGAAGACCTTTTAAGAAATATGCTCATTTTCCTCTAACACGTAATTTTCTTACAATCATATTATGGAATGAACAAGATACTAATTATATGGTTCTCCTTCTAAATTGCGACATTATACTTTCTCTACATAAACAAAAAAATACAACGACATACTTTTCTTTCTCGAACAATTTGTTGTTTAGATGTTACGATAACGACATACTTATTGCATATGGTTCTCCGTGTCCCGCTACTCCTCCTCTTGATGTCATCATTTTACGTCATTTTTTGACGTCATGTTTTTTTTGGTCAACTAATTCTTATTCAAATTAAATAGAACCATCCCAAAAGTTTAGGCAATACAAAGCAGTTTTGGCAAGCATAACAGCTGCATAAAACAGGAAGAAAGAAACAGAATAGAAAGCTGCATAAAACAGGAAGAAAGAAACAGAATAGAAAGATAACGGATAAAAGAAAGTGGCAAGGCTTCTAATATCAAAAAGAAAACCTGCAATCTCATTCATATCCAACCCTAAACGTAGGACGTTAAAGAGGATTTCATAGTCCGAAACCAAGGTCGGGATGACATAGATGCAGCTAGAAGTGGCCAGAATATCAAGCAATGGCTGCAACGATGGTTGGGAGTCTTTCCTGGGCTCGGACCGAAGCAAAGTGAGGTCCCGGAAGCAGTCAGGAGAAGTACACAGGAGGAAAACACTGGATTCTTCCTCTGAGTGGCTAAAACTCATACACATCATTATCTCTGCAAAATGATATTTCCCACCTAAAAGAGCAATGAAAAGATCAAACGGCTCCATAGAAGAGTAAGACAGCCGAAAATAGGGGTTGATGTAAAATATCATCGCTTTTTGAAACTTTACAAAGGAGGAGCGATTGAGATATACACAAATTCCCCACAAGATCAAGATCACAGCCTCATACTGAGGTAACAGGAGGCTAATTGATACCTTAATGACCTCATATTGAGGTAACACGTTCCATATGACAATATAAACAGAACCAGAAACATTCTCATACTGAGGTAAACAAAACCTAACGAAAGGTGGATTCCCAATCAAGATCATTTGCTCAAAAAAGTCAAAGGCTCGAAGAGAGACAGTACCTTCGGAGAACACATGAGATAGAGAACTAGATTTGGAAGAGACCGTCAAAGGACTTGAAGTAGACACGACCAACTCCAAATCGGGTGGATCTGGAGGGTCTGGTGGGACTGGCGGAGATGACACAAGGGCCGCCACCCACAAGGCCTTTGGCCGGGAGAGGGACAGAGGATGGCAGAGCTCGGAGGAAGAGGAGATCGAAGGAATGATCAGGATGATCTGGAGGTTCAGGAGGTTTAAGGAGGGAAAGAGACTCAAACGGAACTGGAGACATCTTACTCGGTGGTGGATCTGACGGCTCCGACGGAGAATAAGACAGACTCGAGAATTCAGTCCTCAAAAGCGCCACATAGCCCATCAAAAAGGTCACCTGAGAGAAAGATTGGCCGGAGAAGATCTCACCGGAAAACGACAGTGTGGAGGAGGAACGGGACTTCGAACGGAAACAAAGCCGGCTCGGAGAAGGAGGAGACAAAACACTGGTCAGGAGGAGACAAAACACTGGTCAGGAGGAGAGCACATCAGAGGAGTGCTGCCGGTGGAGATCCATCTTCGATTCTGAGTGCGGCGGCTGGGACTTCCTTGGGCTTCGTGTCTGGGAGAGAAACGCTCTCTAGGGCGAACTCTGCTTAGACGTCATGTTTAAAAATAGTATTATGATACATTACTTTGATAATATCACTATCTTTGAAATTTCGAAGAAATAATATACTTTAGTTTCAAAGTAGAAAGCAAGTGACTAAGGTTCGTAGGTTAGTGGTTGTATCAGTGCAGCTGATGTAGTATTATTCGGATGCAACTCCGCCTGATACATATTATTCAAAAAGCGAATAAAACATGAAGCACATAGGACGACACATGATTTAATGAAAGTATTGGCCCCGCTAATCTTCATTAGCTATAAAAAAAATCATTAAATTTATACTACAGATGAGCTTCTACAAGATTTATCCTCTATAGCAACAATGATCTCAAGAATAAGGAATAAATGTCTACAATAATAACGATCTGATCGAGGAGTAAACAAATATTATACATAATAATCTGCTTTAGTCAGGTTCAGTTTCTCTTGACAAAGTTTTCGTTCCGTGATCTTCAAACGAAAAATGATACCTTCTTCGAGCAATCACACAAACGGCTTCAAACAATCATAGATATCTTACGATCATTAGTTTTTTAAAGTTATGTATAATTTGTAGAAAGCACAAACCACATTATCATTATAATTGATGAATCAAATTGTTGTAAAATCGTTATACGTATTCGTTATAGGTCATCTCGCCCCAATAAACGCTCCAATTATAGAGCAATAATCTGCTTCAATTTCTCTTGACAAAGTTTTCGTTCCGTGCTCTTCAAACCAAAAATAATACCTTCTTTGAAAAAATTTATTTCCTTCTTCGAGTAATCAAACAAACGGTTTCATACAATCATAGATATCTTTACAATCATAGTTTTCTAAAGTTGTGTATAATTTGTAAAAAGTACAAACCACATCTGTTGAACTAAGCTTGAAATGAAGCTTTGGAAGCAAGCTATCCTAGTTCTATCAAGATAAGGATACCTAAAGTGTTTAGGATTAGAGATTAATGTTTTAGGAGTTATCTAATGCATTCTCTAATTGAATTAGGATTTGGTTATTGGCTATATAAGCAATGTCGAGTTGTGACATTAGTTTATCAGAGATTATGTGTTTAAGGTTTTTTGAGTTATTTTCCTTAAGCTAATAAGAGAGTCATTCTTATTGATCTTTGAGCACTTCAATTCTATAGTTCTTGATCTCAATTCAATAATTGGTATCAGAGCTTCAGAGTTTGAAGAGATAGAGTACGAACCATGGGAGATTTGATTGCTGCAGCAACTGCAGCAAGACCTAGAGAAGGAGGAGGACCGCCCTCAATAACATGTCCTATGCTGAATGCAACCAACTACACTGTATGGGCTATGAGAATGCGAATTACTCTCAAAGTTCATAAAGTATGGGAGGTTGTAGAAACAGAGGCTACCCCACCCGATGGAGAGAAGAATAATATGGCCATCGCCCTACTATTTCAGTCAATCCCTGAGACACTTGTTCTGCAGGTCGGTGAACTTGAAACAGCTAAAAAAGTGTGGGATGCGATTAAGGCAAGATATGTAGGAGCGGAGAGAGTTAAAGATGCCAGACTACAGACGCTAATGGCTGAATTTGATCGGCTAAAGATGAAGGATGCACAAAAAATCGATGACTTTGCTGGAACGTTATCTGAAGTAGCCTCAA